ACTAGTCCCCACTCATGACTGGAACCAGAGATCCTCCAAAAAATGTGTATGCAGATGAGGTATAGGCAGCCTGGTCCAGCTATATCTCATCATGTGCACCAGGCTGAGAGAGGGGCTGACGGAGGGATTCTGAGTGCACAGTTTGGTGCCCCGTTTGGTGATGTTTCCCAGAACTTTATGGCTGCTGAAGAAACGTGAATCATTGGAAATGAGAAAGTAAGGTGCAGCTGAGCTGTAGGGGTAAAGAGGAAGTTGAAATGTATTCAATGTAGTGGTTCACCGTGACTTTGAAAAAGAGTTGGGACTGACGGGGACTGAATGCATTGGACACTTGGAACTTGCTTTGGGCTCTGATTGGCAGTGTGGTATGCTTATTTTCACCATAGCCAAAGTAATACAATTAAAATGGCCACATGTGGTGGGGGGAGGGTTGCACCCTTGTCTGCTTGTGGACAGGACTCCCTACGAGACTCGTAATTAGCTTCCCACTGCAACTTCCAGTGGGAGGATCCCAGCAAATGCTGACTTTATGGAAATGGGAGATTCCTCCCTAGCTTACTTCTGCAGCCATATGACTCAGGGGCATCCGAACCCCAAGCTTCCAGGCTTGGGCCTGCATGTAGGATGCCCGCCACAGGATTTGGAAGCATCTGAAGTCCCAGGCAGGGTGGAAAATGCTTCCCAGTAGCAGGGCCACATATGGTTCTTAAATGACTCACGGATTTGGAGTTGATTTGACTTGGGACACAACAGATTTTCCATTAAATAAAAATGCTTATTTCCTCCTGGGAGAAGCAACTTCTTTTTTTTTTTCTTTTTTTAAGGGACACACACAAATACATACACATGCACACACACAAAAAGGTTCCCATCAGCATGTATGCCCAATACAGGCCATGTATTTTGTAGTCATGCTCAGTGTTGGCTTCATTTAAACAGCTTCGTAGTTGGTTTCTGTTACTGAGCACATGCTGCTTTTAACAGTAGTTCATAGATAAATAATGTATTTAATGCAGTTGCAAACTTTTTCAGTTTCATTTCTGAAAATGTAGAGTTTTTTGCATTTTGTTAGCTGCAGTTAAACAGAGAAGTTCAAACATACTGTGTATATGATAGAATACATCTCCCTGTAGTGGAAGTGCATCTTTCTTGGAGCCTTGCAAATATTCCTGCCCGGACAGAAATTGAAGAGTTCTGTATCACCTTTCTCTCTTTTTTTTCCCCACTCTCTTTTCCCCAAAATAATGCTGTGAAAGTTTTCCCAGTTTAGTAACCAATGAAGGTAGAGTTTCTTGTCCCAAACAGTCCAGAAGATATAGTAAGGCAGCATCCCATGCCTGTAGGTTGGCATGACCCATTTGGGGTCAGAGGTAGGTGGGTGGGCATGGATCTAGCTGCCTCCACTCTTCCCTAGGAGTGGAAGGGGGAAGGGCCCACAGCCAATGCTTTTCCTCATAGTGGCATGGGGAGAGCACCCTCAGCTGGTGGTTTTCTACATGACAGCATGGGAAAGGTAATGCTGCTGAAACTCCCCCCTCCCCCCCCAAGCTTCATGTCTGCAAGCTGGATCTAATGGCAACGTGGGCCAGATTTAGTTTCTAAGCCCTGCATGGCATTTAGTATTCTGTGACAAACTGAAATTACTCATCCCTGTAATGTGCATGGGAAAATAGACTTTTGTGTAATGTAATGTTAGGGGTGCACTGATGGGGGTTTTTTTTGGGGTTGATACCAATGACCAATTATTAACCAGCCATATCAGCCAATACCAGTGTGATTGCTGATATGCAGCCCGGCAGCTTGGAGAGTAGTGTCCAGCTGGTAAGTCTGGGGTGGGGGTAGGGAAAGGATATTGGGGGGTGCATAGAGGCCCCCATAGTGAAGGAGAGAGTGGGGCTGGGGTTGCAGTAGGCACTGCACAGCCAGGGCAGGGCACAGGACAGAGCCACAGCTTGTCCAGAGGGGTGGGGGTGGCTCCCACCACTGCATGCATCACCCCCCCCACCCCAGGGGAGGCATAGGGGCATGTGTCCCCCAGTTCTGTCCATGGGGTGAGGGTGGGCTGTGTGCTTGGAGCCAGGGGCTGCTCCAGCCTCTTCTCAAAAGGGGTGGGAGGTCTGGGCCCAGGCTGTGGGCAGGTCAGGTTGTGGTAGTGCTGGGAGAGGGCCTGTAGTCATCCCAAAATTCACCATAACCCTGCTCCCAGCACCGGTGCCACCTGCCCCATCCCTGCCTGCCCACAGTACAGCCTGGACCCAGCCCCCCCCCCCCCCCCCCCCCCGGGAGGGGCGCCCCCCCCCCCCCCCGGCCCCCAACCCGGGGGGACCAGGGCCCCCC